TCGTCTAATGGTAGAAAAAACGAATACTTCAACCTAGAAATATTTTTACCCGATCTATTTTTTTTTTTTTCAATTAACCGTTGTACGTTTAATTGGCATACGATTTCGGTGAGTTTGCAACTTAAAGTTGTTCTTTATAGGTCACTGGTATTTTCAGGATGTTCTTTATAAGATGCTGTGATGTATTTTTAGGTCTGTTCTTTATATGTTTTTTTTTGTGTTGGTATATTTAGAAAAACATAAGAATTGTATTGCAACTGCATTTTAAAGGATCCCTTTGAATTTACAACAGTTACATTGTATAACAATTGTTTGTAATTTCCTTCATCGTTGACGTGGATAAATACAAATTGTTGTGATCATCAGCTTTAATCATGGACATAGATTCCGAAGATGCGGTAGTACTTTTGCTCGTGGAGGAGATAGTTAATCTACGTAATTTGATTTTTATCTTTGACTACCTCTACATTAAATTGGTTGTTCAACCTAGAAAAAATCGTAGAGTCAGACGTCGCCTCACAAATGCATCCTATCGTATGTCAGACCGTCTTCCCTTTCAAATTGAACACATGAAAGTGTTAGTAGAAATAAGTGACAGAACATGCATTGAACAACTTCGCATGGATCGAAATACTTTCGCTCGGTTATGCTACTTGTTGGAACATGTTGGTGGGATTAAGAACTCCAGAAATATACACATAACTGAGCAAGTAGCAATGTTTCTCAGTGTGCTAGCTCATCATAAAAAAAATCGTGTTGTGAAATTTGATTTCAAACGATCCGGTCAAACAATAAGCAAATTCTTCCATAATGTACTACGTGCCGTTCTGCGTTTGCATCCCCTCCTTTGTGCCCAAAGCAATGCAGTAACTGATTCATGCACCGACTGGAGATGGAGATGGTTTAAGGTGAGGACAACGAGTCGAACAAAATAAGCACAAGTATTTTTTATTGTATTAACATAACTGCATGTGAATTAATCACAGGGGTGCTTAGGGGCCTTGGATGGAACCTACATTCCTGTTCGTGTTCCTGCACGTCTACATCCACGATATCGCAATAGAAAAAGTCGTGTTTCTGTTAATGTCCTTGGGGTTTGCACGCAAGAAATGAATTTTTCCTATGTTCTGACCGGTTGGGAAGGATCTGCGGCAGACAGTAGGGTTTTACGAGACGCCGTTCATCGCCCAGGGGGGCTTCGTGTACCAACAGGTTTGTGTTACAATGTATACATATAAAAATGTATAAATTGTTTGTTAGTTATCCTTCTTAAGTTTTTTATTTTTTCCATTTATGAATAAATCTTTCATATTTTGGGGATTGTCTAACCTGAGAGCGACATCGCATTTGCCAAACCGTTCATCGTTTTGCACCAACGGGAGATGTTAGGTTAAAATTTGGGGAAAATATAGACAATCTTCATGTATACAAGTGTTGGGGATTTTCTACGAAATTAAGGGCAAATCAGTAAATTTGTGTTTTATCCTACCTATTGTCACCTCCCACAAACACCACATCCAACTTTTCAATTGTTTTCAATCTGCAACCAATCATGGGTGCCAAACGTAATATTGATTGGATCTTAACAGTGTAATGTTCCTATTCATCATTAATATAATCTAATCCCATCTTCCTTTTCAAACATAGCCCAAAACTTATTGGAAAGGACAAGATTTGGAGATCAGTTTAATAAAGGAAATAGATCAAGACTGAATCAAGATTAGATCAATTAGAATTATTCTTTCCCTTTGTATTT